CGTACGTAACGAACGTACGGTACCGACCGACTACGACGAACGAACGACGACGACTACTACTACCTAACCTAACTTAACCTACTACGTACGTACGTGTCGCGCTCTCTCTCTCTCTCTCTCTCTCTCTCTCTCTCTCTCTCTCTCTCTCTCTTCCCTGATTCATCCACTGTTCTTGCGGTAGTGGGTGAAATTGTCCCTTGATATGTACAGATAGAGCACCAAGGTTGTAGATCATCCCAGTTTTTAATTTGTATAACTAAGCCTTATTAACATATTATACCAGTTGACTAGTTTCCCAAAAAAAAAAGCTTTCCCTAGTTTTGACACAATCAGTCCAATTACGGTGAACACCAGTCTCATATAACATTCAACATTTTTCAAAATAACATCATTTTTCAAATTTTTCAAATTTTTCAAATTTTTAGATCCAAATTCCAATAGACTATAGTCAATATTGACAATACAACATAAATTTACATTTACACTTCTTACAAGAGGAACATACTCAGTCTTGCATGAATTGCAACAAAAGAAACAATACACCGCTTCATGAATTACCAACATGCAGTTGGAAAGTACTTGTATATGAAACTTTGGTATTGCAATAACCATGTCATCTTCCTTTGTCATGCTCTCTTATCCAGCTCACTTTTTTTGATATATATATATATATATGGCTTGCCTTGAATTCAATTTGATGTATATTTCCTTGTCAATGACATGGGTATTTATCAAAAACTTAATTAAAGAATACAGCTAGTATGGACTCTGAGAAGAAACTAATTTGTTACATAATTAATTTTCTCAATAACAAAAAAAGGAACTAATAAAAAAGAGAGTTTCACATCCAAGATCATACCCATCAGGGAAATGATAACCTTTTGCTGGCTCTAAGTGCCCCAATCCAACAAGGCGCATACAAGCATCCATCACATGTCCAGCTGAATGTAGCCTACAGGAAAAACATATCCATATCACACGGCTTTCCAGCATGATCCAATGACGTACAAAACACCACTAGAAAACCATGTTAATAAAAAAAATTATTTCTTAGGTCTCTAATGGAGCCAATATTTCTCTTTTTTTTTTTGGGCCATATTCTAATAGAATGAATCTTTACAATTGAACACTGTGTGAAAAAACCAATCGAAATAATCTATATCAACCCCCATAGAGACAAAGTAAGAACCCCGGGAGGGGGGGGGGGGAAAGAAGGAGAAGGAGAGGGGATAAACTTAGTTGTCCATTTCAATGAAGATTACTGAATACAAAAAGGAAAAAAATATAAAGAATTGTAAGACCGTTGCAATTTTCAAGGCACCTTGCATTGAGTTTACGCCGTTTTTCATCAACACTCAGGTGAACTTGTTGGCCTCTTTCAAACGCCACTTCTCTTTCATATAAAAGATTGAAAGATCCATAATGAAAAACCTACCCAAGAAGATTAAAGGTAAAACACCATAAATGATCTAAAGAAACCAAGAAGCCAGTAAAACATGAGATAAAGATAATTATCCCAATCAACTATCAATCAAAGGATTACTTCAAAGTTCCAAATCACTACATATACTCAGAATTTGCAAAAGCTAATAAGCTTCTGAAAATATGCTGGTTTTAAACTTTAAAACTAAAAAACCGAGAATTGTTCCAAGCTCCAAATCTCATTCCACTTAAAAACAAGTTGCCTCAACCAGCTCAATGACATCTATGACCAATTACAATAATACTCAGTGTCACAGGACTTGCCATATAAAATAAGTTGTAACTAACAAGAATGTTAACTTGTAGTGATTGCAAGCTGATATCACTATGTGACAGAATATGAAATACGTCCTAATCTTCCTCCAACTACTCTCATTACATTCGATAATTTGCTTGGAACCCTTGCAGCTTTGTATAATAATAGTTATCCCGCAATTCCAAGAGCTCATGAAGTAAAATGGAGTTCAGTACATCAGAATATCAAATTAGCAATCCAAGCATTCAATAGCCATAAATTGAATGGGATGAGCTGCATAGACTGAAAAGAAGAGTTTGTGCTATGAGACCGAAGAAATTCACTTCACAAATGGAGAAGTTTAAATTCAAATACTAGCAGTTAACAATTTCAAAAAGAGTTTAAACTCAAATATTTTATTGAAAAACTAAATGTACATTTTGTGTTGACATTTACATGCATGATGGAGACAATTACATGTCTATAGTACAATTTAATGATGACATCAGGTAAACTAACAAAAACCATCAAAGTAGTCCATCGAACCAATCAGAATATTTCTTTTCTAAACATTGTAGTAGATCAGCCAATACACTTAAAAAGAAAAAAAAAAAAGTAAAGTTAATTTGAAGAAAAATACCAAAAAAGATTAGGCATGTTCAACAAACAATGTGCTTCTAGTGCAGAGATGAAGCTTGAAGAAATCCTTAAGGTTCTCATAATATCAGAGATATGGTCTCTGAAACAAGCTGATACACCAGAATTTTGGCCTTATTAATTATATTCCAAATCTGAAGGTCAAGATGACAACTGGAAGACACTTTAGAGAGGGAAGAATTACGTATATTCCAACAAGGAGAACCAATGTGCCAAAACTGGGCCAGGAAGACTCGGACTTGGCAAAGTGCTGAGGCAAGTACTAGTAGACACACTAATGATTAAAGCACCTGTACAGTACTCCTGAAGAGTATTGTACAAACTGACACGAGTACGGTACAACCGTGAAGCCTTGCATGAGTTCTACAACACTTGAGTGACTCGCTATAGTACTCACCCACATACTGTTGCTGAAACATACATAAAAGGGGGAGGAAGTCTAACCCTCTCTCTCTCTCT